CATACAGGAAAGGACTTTGACTCTGGGAACAGAGCTCACAGCATCCAGACATCAGCCCCACTGAAAGCCACAGACAAGGACAATCACGCATATTACCATAGTAACATGGTGCCCAAAAAAATGGAAACAACATCACATGTTGGTGCCTGGTTTCTCATTACTGCATATCTGATCCAGGTGTTTTTAGCTCCTATATATAATTGCTGTGTGTTTTCAAGCTACCAGTGCCAGATTGTTCAAGGGGCGGAGCTAGTTGGGGGGCCAGGCCTACCATTTTTTTCCCCCTCTAATACAGATGGTGGGAGCAGTAATACTCTCAAATGTAATATTCAAAATATTATAAATCTTCATACATTAACAATTACTTGACAACAAAAATACTGTGGTTAAAATGTGGCTAATGTGGTTATGCACATCTATATACTAACATTAAAGATAATAAACACAGAATTCATACTTTTTCAGAACTAGATCTTGTCTTATGGGGTAAAGAAAAAATTATGTGTTTCTGCAAGTCATCTAGGAGTCTTCAGTGAAATCAGAGATAACCATTTTAATAAAAACTTAATAATCAATTTGTGTAGATATTAGTACTTGTACATATCAATTTTATGCAGAATGATTATTGACAAGGCGCAGTGGGTAGCACTGCTGCCTTGCAGCAAGAAGGTTCTGGGTTTGATTCCTGGCCCGGGGTCTTTCTGCATGGAGTTTGCATGTTCTCCCTGAGCATGCGTGGGTTCTCTCCGGGTACTCTACCTTCCTCCCACAGTCCAAAAACTGTTTAGTGTTAGGTTAATTTGCTCCCCTACAGCCCCCTTAGATGTGCGTGTGTGTGTAAATGGTTGTTTGTCCTGTTTTTCTCTGTGTTTCCCTGCGATGGACTGGCGACCTGTCCAGGGTGTACACCGCCTCTTGTCCATTGACTGCTGGAGCACTAGCTCCCCACTTAGGATAAGCGTGTTAGTAAATGGATGGATGGATTATTGATAAAAGTAGGTAAGTAATGACAATGGAAAAGATGTTCGCCCCAGAACTCACACCTGAAACAATTTTGTCCGCTATACCTTTTATCTAGAAAGCATCAGAGATGGCAAAAGTACTTACTTTCCATACTTGAGTAAAAGTACAGATACTTGTGTTAAAA